GGTATACGGGTTGGCCCAACTTGGTTGTGTGGTATTTGATAGAAAAATTTAAAAAAATTGAAGGAATTAAAGATTTATAATGGGTCATAGTGGGTTGATGTGTCAATATGGGTGGGTTGGTATTCAACCCAACCCAACCTACCCATTTGCCACCCCTAACTGCACTCCTCTCTCTCTCTCTCTTGGGCGGGTGAACTCGCTAATGCTAGTTTTTTTTTTTTTTTTTTTTTTTTCCTGTGGGACATACCAGCTTGGGTTCGACATATAATCAGTAGGTCGAAGCAGATTTGTTCGGTCAATCCTCCTGCCCTCCATTTATTGCTTTCTTCTCGCTTCTTTACTCTTTACTTCTGACGCATTTCTGCCCTTCATTCAGTTTTGGAGGGCACTGGAAGTTGAGGTAGCTGCAAACACTTGTTCTCTCTCTTGATGTTTTTCCCCCCTGATTTGCTCTCTCTTGAAGTTCAAGATTGGTAGTATCACGTTATTAATTGTTTAGTGCTCTTCTGATTTTCGTTGTCTTTATTTATTGTGTTTTCTTTGGCAGTTAAATTGAACCTGGTGAAGATGAATAAGAGGAAGAAATCAACATTTAAAGGAGGATCATCCTCCTCAATTGCTACGGATTCGGCAGACCAAAGACCAGACTTTAGGCAGATAATGAAGGACGTCGAGTACTTGGGTACTAAACTACCTTCTTCCTTGATTCCCTGTTTCTTTACTGTGTTTTTTGCTTTTTCATTTGTACAGTAAATGTTTTATATTCTCCAGATTTAGATAACTGAATCAACCCATATTCTTTTTTTTGTGTGTATGCACTCAGTAAAATTGCTAACTTTTATGAAGAGAAGTATATATTCTTATTCGTTTACTTATTTACACAATTTAAAATTAGTAGAATTATCTGTTTGTTCATGAAATGTTATTTTTTTATTTAGATTTTGCATAGAATAATGAAAAACCAATGTTCTTATGGGTATAGAAAGAGGGGGAAGTGAATTTTGGAGTAAGGATCTGAAATTAGTAATTGATTTCCTACTATTCTAGTTGCAATTAGCAGACTATGAAGTTAATCATGGGGTTCTTAAAAGGAGCATAGCATGGATTAAACCGAGTAGTAGAGTAAAAGGCAAAAAAGAGATGCAAAGATGGGCTCAAAGCTAGTGGTTCAAGGGATTGGTCTCTTGATAGTGGAAGAATATGGTGATTATTAACTAAAAAGGTTGTTTTTGTGAGAGATCGAGCATATGAGGGAAAGCTACAGTGGTTGCTATTTGGATGATGGAATGGAGTAAGGTGGCRATATCTCGGACTCCATTTTGTTGGAAGCATGGATTATGTCCACAGAGGCAATGGAGATCTAAGTTACCCAAATACAACACTGAAACAGATGACAAGATGCGTTAAAGGTCATCTTTTAAAATTGTCAGGGATAGGATGGATTCCTCTTCTGGCTTATTCATGGAAAAATCCTTCTTTCTTTCCATTAAAGGGAACTGAAATGATAGTGCTATTGTAGAGAAAAGAGTTTGGTTCTCCACTGTTCCATGGAGTATCTCCATCATATTGGAGGCCCTTTTGGTGAAGCATAAATTCTTGCAACCTTCTGAAAGGGAAATACCTAAACCAGTGCCATATCTTCATGACTGCATCATGTTGACAACTCTGGAATTTCTTCTTGGAGTTGGTTAGTCTACAAGGTCATCATTCATGCAATAACATGGGGCATATGTGAAGAAAGAAAAAGGGATAGCCCTTGACAGCAACAAGTATTCCTTTGAAGCTCTAAGAGGTAGATTTCTCAACCTTCTTTCTTCTAGTTACCCTCTTTAACTATTGAAGGTAATTCAGCCAATGTAATCAGATGGAGCTTAATGGTTGGAAGGGGACCCTGGAGACTAGCACATCTCTTGAATGAAATAAGAGAATCAACCACTGGAAGAGCAGTTCAGATTAGTTGGACACCAAAAGATGAAATTCCAAAAGCAGGCAGTTTAGCCAAATATGGGGTTAGTAGGGTCCTCCATATGGTCATAGCTGATTTCCAACTTGCTATTTTATTAGGGATCGGCTGCCTGAGTGCTTGTTCTTACTTGTGCATTCTTATAAATCCCCTCAAGTATATCCCTTATTCTTTTGTGAATTAATATATTTGTAGTTACCTCTTCTAAGAAAAAAAAAAGGATGAGGGGGTAAATCAAAGAATAGGGGGTTTTCATTCTAGAAGGAAAGAGAAAAGGTGAGATGGGTGAATTTGGGGAAGGCAATTGAAGTATCTTTTGTGGACCTGCTATTGTTCCATCATCTGATTGTAACTAATGATCTTAAAATTAGACTGTTGAACTATGATTCTACAATTTAAATGATGACCTATTGGGATGAGTATCAGCCTATCAGGTGTTTTTTTTTTTTTTTTTTTTTTTTTTTGCCTTCTTCCTGTGGCAGTTAGCAGTCCAGGCTGATAATCTACTATGGCATATACCCCAGCCCATGTTCGTATTGTCATTATCCTTTTTATAAATCTTTTTTTTTTTTTTTTTTTTTTCATTTTTTGCATCCATATGCTCATGTTTATGTTTCAGAAACAAGCAGAAGGCACAAGCATTACACATGGTTTTTTTAGTGGACAGAGAAGATAAGAGGTCCACATGATGTTGTAGTCTCTTGTGGAAGTGGGTTCCATTTTATATGGTCATAGACAACATACATGTTCAATCACTTCAATGCAACGAAGCATTTAACAAAATTATGGTTGGATTTTTGATGCATGGGCGGTGTGCCTCAACTCTAGCAAAAGGAGTTTGCACATCTCTTAACCCGATTTACTTTTACTTCCATGTCTTTTGTCAGCCACTTGAATTTTTTCTTTTGCTAACCCAATTATAACTCTAGCAGCATTGTTCAACAAATCGATATAGGCAGGATTCTTACAAAATTGCCAAATTCTACATTTCTCACTTCCATCTATGAATGGTGAGTGGCTTTCCCTTTAGAATCATAGATGAATCACGAGGGGGAGAAACCAGAATTCAACTATTAAGAATAAAGAAAGACTATAAAAAATTTAGGGGTTAGGAACTAACCATTTAACAAGGTTCTTTGTTAGCCTTTCATAGATGGAAGAGGATGGACACATTCAATGTTAAGTGTTGTACCATTAGTAGATGGAAGTGGGAACAAGAAAATGAGAAACAAATGTGATGAGGGGTAAAATGACCCTTCAATCACGAGCTGCCACATGGTGGCCAAGAATCATCTTAGGACACTTTGGCATCATACCTGGTATGACCTTGCTTGAACGCTCCTCAACAGATCGGCTCATGCAACCTAAACAAGTCCCTGACTTGTTTAGGTTGCATGAGCCTAGGCGCACAGGCAAGGCGAATTTTAGGGTATGCGCCTTGCCTAGGTCCTAGGTGCAACCCTTTCAAAAGGCGCATGCTTAGTGTGCCTAGGTGTGCRCCTAGAGGTGTAAAACAGGCAGTGCTGGGCCAGCATGGCACAACTCGTGTGCGGCCCACAGGCCATGCTTCCCTCCCCCGGGATATTTTGGGGGGTCGACTCGGCACGGCCTACGGCCCGAGTCGGGCTGGTCTGGCCCGTGGGTCAGGCCGGGCCGTGCATCGGCCATAGTTATTTATTTTAAAAAAAATGAAAAAAAACTTAAAATTTTAATTTTATATGAATTTTGATGTATACAATTGCTTATATATACAATAATTAAATAAAATAGTATAATAAAATTGAAAAAAATTGTTTATTTTATTAATATATTATATACTATATATTATTATATAATTATAATTTATATAATAAATAATATATTATATATAAATATATAAAATATATAAAATATATATTATATATTTGATTTTATATGTTTGATTTTATTTTTAAATTTTCATTTGAATATGCTTTACATGTTATGTTTATGTATTTTAATTTTAGATAGTAGGTTTTTTAAAACATTTATTTTAAAACTTAAGTTTATATTTTTTTATTAATATTGTGTTTAATATTTTTGGTATTTTTTGCATTTTGATTTTTTTTAATTTTTTAGCTTTTTTTTTTGTATTTTTGTGCCTTACTTCAAAAAGGTGTGTGCCTCGCCTTGTGCCTTGCACCTTGGGCACCAATCGGCCCSTATGCCTTTTTTTGCGCCTTGCGCTTTTAAAACATTATGTACGCCCATTGGATTCCATGAGCACGACCTACCCCTCCGACTTGTGCAACCCACGATCTAGGGGATCACGTTGACTGTAGGATCACTCCGACCTATGTGGCACGTTCTCCCTTATCTGTGTACATCACTTAACGCCTCTGAAACGCATGCGGACATGAAGCCCATATGGCAGTGGCACGCGGTTCCCTTCGCTTCATGGGGAACCAGATAAGGGCGAACACAACGTTGTGCATGCGTTCACCGTAAACAATGGGCGGATAAACCTTAGCATCTCCCAACGTGTTAGGCACGCTACATCGGGCCTCGAGGTCTATATGGTGACCCTTCACCCTCAAAAGTACATTCACTTTTTTGCGTACTTACTCTGCTCTGATTCCCTGCTCATTAGCTCTCTTTCTACCTTGTCAGCTCGGTGCTAACTTGACCRTTGGAGTCCCTCGCCTGAGTCATCCCCCGGGCTCTCTGACGTGTTTCTTCTTGCAGATCCGACCTGCTGATCTCATCTATCTCTGTCTGAGCTATCACTGTCAGCAGGGAACTGGTACGGTTTCACCCTCATCAAAATGTACCAAGGATTCGATGGATCCATCATTTGCTCTAATTAGGTTAGGTATTGCCACCAAAAAGTCCTTGTATTTCTAACTAACAATATTAAGATACATGGGTATAACTGTGTAATGACTTGACTAATTGGGATAGCAATAACCCACCCTATCCCACTCTTGGCATATAACAGCAATAACTGTATAAATAGGGGCATTAACACCCCTATTTTGGAGGGCCCTGAGTGCATTTGTCACTAGTTGGAAGATATATACACTAGAAGAGGGGAGTTTGAGTTGTTAACTGAGGAATTGAGTATCAAAGGAGAAAAGAAGACTAGGATGACATATTGTCAATAGATGAGGTTGACTATGTATTTTCTTCAAAGATCAATGTTCAAATCAAGATTTGAGGAAGGAAATAAAGTTTCTTATACATTCTAGAGATTCCCTGGGAAAGAGAAGCACTTTTGCTGATGAGATGGCAGCGGCTTAAGTGGTTCCCTTAGGAAAGAGGAGTGATAATCTCATTAAGATTGCTCAAGTGGGCATTGGGCAAAGAAAGAGTATGTGGTAATGTTCCTTTGAGGAGGGGAAACTTATCCTTGCACATATTGCTCAAGTGGGTAATGTTCCTAAAGGTTTATCCTCTTCTTATTGTGAAGGTTCAGGTTTAAGTAGGGCTGTGAACGGGTTGGGCAGACTTGAACTGAACCATTGCTAGCCATATTTAGTTTTACTGATAGTGGTTGTTGGGTGCATGTCTTTGGGGATGGTGTCAGATTGTGTATTTCTCTTTTTTTCTTTTCTGGTCATAAATTTCTTGCCAAAAAGGGAACAAATTACGGCTGGGGAAATTGCAAGATGCTTGTGCAATTTATCCTTGTACAGATTTAGATTTTAGATCTGCATTAGCAAGTCTCATTTGTGAACAGAGTTGTTTCAAGTTTGCAATCATCACCTTCTTAAAAAGCAATCTCTCATACTATCTATAAAAAAAAAAGCAACCTCTCATACTGATAAAAAAATGCAATCTCTCATGGTGATCCCTGTGATGTCAGGTGACTTTCTATTAGGTGAGAAAGTGTCGTGAGTTTGGTGGCTCAATGTCATTTGAGAGTATACGAGTGTGCTGTTAATTAGATGATTTTGCCCATCTCATCCATTTACGA